AAAAATGAGAACACATTATTATTAATTAGGCATTATTCAGTGAGGGCTATGCCATCTGTGTTACAAGCCAGCTGCGGTACAGGGTCTCATTCAAATTGTGAGCTTGAGTTACTTCTCTACAAAAATCAACTTACACCACAAGGAAGAAGTAAACCAAGTTGTCAATCTAGAAACAAATGATGGCTGTAGTAGCTGCCTCCTACCAACAAATAAGAATTGGATCCCTTCTACCTGCAACAACTTTGGCAAGGAAAGGGTGAGACCCCCAGTGAATTTTCTCTCTACTCTTCCAAGGGGCAGATGGCATTTCTACTCTCCTTTTTGTCTTTCAACAGAACAAGTTGTGAAGAACCATTTCCAGTTCCTGCAAAGGAGCATTTTGATTGAAAACCTGGAACCAGCCATGTTCAGGACAACACAATTTTCTTGCTGTTTCTTTTCCTCACAAAGGATCTATCTAACCACATGGTTTCTCTTTCCCTCCTTGGTGCATTGGTGTGGTCAGGGCAAGAAGCGCTCAGATACTCTGCTTCAATTGAAAGGCGAATGCCAAGAGCTGGAAGAAGAATGAGCGGCTGCAAGAGTAAAAAGGTAATAGGACACAGTTGCTGTTTGGGAGAGCTGATGACTAGACCCAAGTCCTGCAGAGAAAAGAAAGGATTTTCTTTTCTTTTCAAAGGATTGCACTGAAAGCCAGACGTGAAACGCTGCATTCATCCTTTCTCGTTTGGTTTTTAACGTTTGCTACTCTTTGTTCCAAACTAACTTAAACCATTTAGTAAGCAGACTGATTTAAAAAACACACAATTTTCGAAAGAATTATGTATTGAAAGAATGAACCAAGATAAGACATGCTCATAGCACACACTGCCAGTTCAAACCAAACACCCTGACTTCACCATCTCAGACGCAGACTGTTTACAATCTATGCTTAGTCTAGGAGCGATGGTGGATTGAACAACAAGGAGCAATTAGCTCAAAAAAGTTTTTCCAGGTTGCTTTCTTAGGAAAAGAAGTTGGTGTAACCAAATTGCTACAATTGGTACAAGCCTATTAAATTACAGTGTTCTCTGGGCATAGATATCACAGGGCAAATTAGATCCACCCTGAGAGTTCCCCAACTTGAACACAATTGGAATACATATTTGCATATGTCTTTATAGCATAACACAAAATATCGCATAAATATTACTTCAGTTACTATACTGAATGGAGCTCAAATATAGGTAACGGGGAGGCATGCAGCAACAAGAAGAGAGTGGGGGAGGATAAGTTTCTGCATAAGACGATGGGAAGGATGAGGGTAAGGACTTCTGGGTGGCACCGTCTCTGACAGACTCTCATTTCATTTTGCCTAACTAGCTCTAGCGTCCTTTCACAGCTGGCTAAACAAGAACAAGATAAAAATCTATTCAGACTAGTCATTATGACACTATTAATAGCTGATACGAGAGCGTACAATGAACACCAGTGTAGATGTAAGGGCAGTTCAAGTCTCTCTGAAATCAGTATGCAAGTGTTATCTGCAGATCTATTACAGAGATGTATGAAGCTGCTTCCAGATACCAGACTAATAAATTTATCTGTTAAACCGTACAGTTGCATCCATTCATCACAACAGTGCAACTGGAGAGGATGTGATTTTCCTGAACCCAAGTACAGGAGCAGAGAGACCCAACTGAGCAGAACCCTGTTATTTGATAGAGGTCCTGCAAAAGGGCAGCAGGGAAGCCCTCTGGAAGGGGGAAGGACCCCAGGGGCAAATACAGGCTATACTGTAATTGATCTCACCACAAAAATAGAGCCCAAATGAATGTAAGCAGTGGTTATAGACTTAAAAAAACCCAAACAACAAACTAAATTACTCACCTAAGGGGGAGTTATGTTAAAGTTAAGCACACTAAAACCTCTGACTAAAAACTGTATACTAAAAACTAAGCCGTCTCTGCTTTGCTGTCACCTAAAAAATGAATTCCTCAAATGCCTTCTCCTGTGTGGCTTTGACGTTCCCCAGATATTCAAATTTGTATCCTGGGAATACCATGGCAGGGCCGAGCACCTAGGCATGTATTTCCCACAGAAACCCATTCAGGATCCAGAAACTGCAAAGTTCCCTGCGCGATGTGATACAAAGAGCTTTCTGGGAGCGCTTCATCCGTTAGTCTACTAATGAAGATGATCTCCACCATTTCTGCAGGAACTATAACCCTGCAATAAATGAATTCAAGAAAGAGTCAAAATAAAACCGTGTTCATAGCCTAGTGGTTAGTGAGGGGTGAGAAGTGGCCCCTGCTTTAAAGAATGTGTCCATTTTTGGAGGCAAGTGAAAATGAGTGTTAGTCTCCAAGAAAATCATGTTAAGTAGTAGACAGAGTAGAAAGGAAAGTGGTATTACACCCCAGTTCTCCTAAGATGTGTTGAAAAATGTGCTCTGAGAACGTAGCCAGGTGATTGAACGTCCCTCAGCTACAACTCTGTCTCCAAAGGGGAGGTAATCTTTACCTGGTAGCTCACGCTGCAAGGCTGCCTGCCTCTCAGCGAGGACCTGCACAAAGCCTGCTAAGGCAGGGCACAGCGCTCAGTCAGAGCTAGCAGGGGTACCACCGGCAAAGCCGTCCAGCTTCACCAGGTAGGTGTGAAGCGCCTGCGGTCCAGGAAACCATATCAGCAGCCTGTCTGTTGGATTGCGTGTAACGTACTACAATGAAAGAGCTCAGTTGCAGGATACCTAACGCAGACAATAGTTGAGTAAAAATACAACATCTTGTAATGAGAAGCATCTGAAAAACATAATACCAATAAAGAACTGGCACAAGGGCTGGGTAAATGATGCAAAGCCCTTCACTGCTGTGGCCTTCAGAGGTAATAAAAAGATAGCCCAGCACACCTCGCCACTGAGACCACGGGGCATGAGTACCATTACACAAGCCCAACTATCAGCAATTCCCTTTCTAGACCTGCGTGACTGCATCTTTCCTCACCAGGTTCCCCATAACCTTTCCTTTTAGAGGGATTTTTCACCTTCTTAAAGGGACCTATTAATGTTAATTGGACCAATAAAAGCCAATTACTCTGCTCTGCCCTCCTTGAAGCGTATCTCCCTTCTCCCCCATAAGGTGGTTACATTACAAAAACTGGATAAGACACTTGGGGGGTAGGCTTGGGGTACTGGTTTCATTAGGAAGATGGAGGCGCTAAGTGCTCCCTTTGTGTATGTGGGATTGCGGTTGAGTTACCTGTGCTCACAACTGTGTCTGAAGTTGCTTTGGGGTTGTTCCTGGTGTACTTAAGTTAGTTTTAGTTTCTCTCTTTAAATATTAAAGAGGGGAGAGTTCAGGTTGTGCTTGTTAGAGAGGCTTGTTAGCTAGTGTAGGGTGAGGCTAGTTTCACGTACTCTACCTGACATGTCCCTAACCTGATCTGTTTGGTAAATATACATCCTTGGGTTATCTTAACCTTCGGTGTTAGGCTGCCTTGCCTGTGTCATCCCAGCCGTAAGGAGCGCCGAGCAGCTGAAAACGTGCAGCCAAAGCCAGCCGTTTGGGAAGCTCACGTGGGAAGCGGGGAACATCTGTGGCAGGGATTATCTCCATCTGGTTGGAGGCCTTTTTGTTCTGCTTCCTAGCACTTCTGTGGACAAGAAAGAGGGAGAAAAATCAATTTTTCTCCTCCTACATCTCTATTGCTGCTCCCAGAGGATCTTATGGGGGATCTTAAAGGGCAAATGGATCCCTGCTGTAGGAACTTCGGGCAGAAATAATTTTTTAAATAGCAGGTTGAACAAAATCTTAACTTCTGCAGTCTTCTGTAAAATCTTTAGGTTTGCTTTTAAACTTAAAAAAAAACCCACAAAAAAAAAACAAAAACAAAAACAAAAAAACCAAACCCTCTTATCTTCTGGCTTGCTGAAGGAGAACATAAACAACTAATGCTTCAAATAGACAGAGGCACCAGACAGTTACATAAAAACAAACCGCCAGATTCCTGCACGTAGGAGTGTCTGCTCTCAATTCCGTCCTGCCTCTCTGCGCCTGTGCCTGGAAGTAGGTCTCCCCACCCTGAAGCAGGAGCAGCTGGTACAAAATGCTCAAACTGAAACTCAGGTGTTGAAGGCTTTGAGGATGTGGCCTTGGGCTCAAGCAAAGGGTCCTTTGTAATCAGGGAACCAAGTATTTGGGGTCAGCCATAGGAGTAGGAGAGCTACAAAGTTTTAAATCTTTACTATTTCAGTGAACAGCTGGAAAGACCTTGAAGTGGAACTCTAGGGATCAGCATGTACCCTCTTATCTTACAGTTCCCGGTATTTCGCTTGTTGTAGACCTGAAGAAAGCGGAAAAGTTATAGCGAGGAGAGTATCCTTACAACAACTTCATGCTCTCAGCTCTGTCTCCCATTAATCATCTGTCTGTGAGACTACTCATCATGCTTGGCACCCTTCGATATCAAGGTAGAGGAAATACATACATTAATGTCTACTAAAGCGGTGCTTTTGTGATTAGATTGGTAAAGCACAGGACAGATCGAGCTAGTCTTCACTCTAAAGAGCTATTCAGCCATTAAAGGGCCAGGGTTTCTCCCTGAGCTCATTGTATGCTCCCAGATGAATGGGGTATCTCCCAGATAACAAAGATTTATGGTGTTCTGGAAGAGCACAATTAATTGTTACTTTTTTGGAGTTGAAGGAAGTAGATTAACTGCAAACAGCCCCAGCTGAGCTCTGAGGTTAAATGGCTAGGCTGCTTTTTTTCTCAAGTAGAAATAAGGATGCTGTACTGAAAATGGCACCTGAAAAAAAAATGGGGCCAGGTCTTCGTTTCAGGGAAATACAGGCAGGGATTTGAAGTTCCCAAGCTGAGAACATCTGCCCTTCATTAATTAAATGTTACACTTGGAACAAAATTCACAAGGAACAGTTTTTAACCATAGTTCGTGAAATATCCAGTGAGACAAAGGGGTCTGAGGCAGGGTTGCCCTCAGTAATCACGCATCTCTTGCGTAAGATGGAGGTAAAAAATAAAGACCGGTGGAAGGCGTGTGAGATGTTGGCCATGCTGGCGCTTCCCCGCCCCCAGCATCACAAAGCGCAGATGCGACTTCATCCTTGTTCAAACGGCGCTGGGCGGCCTCGTGTCTTCACTAATGCACTGTAAGAGCTCCTCATCCCAAGCCCGGGACGTAATCTCCTTCAGGCAGCTTCTGAGGTGCTTTACATGCCAAGTCAATTAACTTTATTGGGGAAAGCTTCAACCAGCAGCCCGGCAGATCGAAAGCGACTCGAGTAGAAGGCGAGGCAGAGCCAGGCTCGGTACAGGAATGGGACCTGGCAATAAATAAGCCCTAATAGATAAGCTGGGGCACTCAGTCACTTCAGGCAACCACCTCTCCAGGCTTCTCCCCCTCCAGAGGCCCGAGGATGGGGGGGAGGCCGCTGGACCCGGCCCTCACCCCTCTGCTTAGGGAAGGCGGGTGGGGCCCGGGCGGCTCTGAGTGATGGAGGGCCGCCCGCCGCCTGAGGCGACGACCGGGCGGCTGTTTCGGCTCCCAGCCCGCTCCAGGTACGCTTGTTTATAATTTATTTTATTTTATTTTATTTTAGTCAGACTTTAGCTCTCAGAGGGCGAGACCCGCAACGGGGGACC